AAATGACTCTTTTTTTATGTAACAACTATCAAAAATATATTTATCACTAGCTTTATGGCTTACCTCTTAAAGATGATAATATTACATCGTAGGAAGAACAACTGGAACTTAGTAAGTACTTGCTGAATTGAACTGCTATCAGGAGACCAGCGTCCAGAGAGACTAGTAAATCATTGACTAAATGGTTTTTTTTTTCTGTTAAATACCGGAGAAACTGCACCTATTCACTTCACAGTGATTTAAGGAGCTCAACTGGGAAGACAGATGTGAGGCCATTTAGAATAAAGAGTACCTAACTCACACTACAGATATTATTGAGTAGCCATTGGGAGCAAGGCATTGTGACAGATGCTATAATGAGATTGAACACAATCTACTCTATGCCAGTTGGAACCACGGTTTTATAAAACATGGGAAGTTAGGAGCATAGAGCTTACACACAGATGGAGCTGACAAAGGGCGCAGATCAGTGAGAACAGTAACAGTTTACAATGACGGGATGGGCTTACTGTCAAAAAGGATCAAATCACTGATGGTCTAACCACAAAGTAAGGGCTAAACTACACAGACCTTTGAATAGATGCAGTCATGTGAAACGCCTACCCAATTTTTAAGATTCAGTATTTAATAAAAGAATACAAGTGTCTCAGTTTTTAATATGAATTACATGTTAAAATGATATTATTTTGAATATACTGAGTTAAATAAAACATTTAAATGCACGTCACATTTTAATTATTCTTTTTTAATGTGGCTACTAGAAAATTTAATATCACTATGAAGACCGAGTTATATTTTTACTGGGCATTGTTATTCTAGAAGGCTATACTGAAACCAAAGCAGAAGTCTGGGCAGTGTGCGGTTCTGAAAAGGCTGCTCATGTGTATGCTGTCCTTGTGTGGCAAAGACACAAGTGGACCAAAGACACAGCAGAGAGTGAACCAAGAGTTATTAAAACCACGAATCACAAAAATTCCGACGGCTCACATGGGAACACAACATAGTCAGGAGAAACATGAAAGGTACAGCCGGTGATTCCAAAGTGGCTGGACTGAAAACTAAAAGAAGTGGAGGGCACAGCAGTTGTCTTCTTGCAGCGGAGGCACAAATATTTGAAGGAGAAATGAGATGAAATGCCTGTCAGAACCGAAGTCCAATCTACGTCCCACACTTTCCCTCCAGTCGCCAGTAAATGCATCACACAAAGCTCTATCTATAAGGCTTTGTCAGCAGATGGAACTCCTTAGTATACCTCAACCAAACCATTTAATATTGGGGATCCATTTATATCTTTTATCTCCAATAAATGGCCACAAAAAAACTAATCATCTCTAGGCCCTCAAATTATAAACCAGAAACCTGAAGGCACCTGGAGGGATTCAGCTTCAAGTGCTCCAAGAAAAGCTCTAAGGTCTACCTGAACCCTCAGCACGCAGCCCAGTACTGGTCACACTGTAAATGCCCAATAAATTCACTACATACATTAAAAATGGTAGTTTATTGGAAGGTTAACAGTCCACACCTACACAATGTGGAGAAGGCAAAGAGCAGAAGCTGTAGACTGGCAAGCCCCATGTTGCGGACGGATGATCAAACGCGTGGGGTGTGTCCTCAGACAAAAAGAGCCAGGAGCCAACAAGGTCTCCTAAAATCAAGTTATGCCAGATGGGACTCGTATTCTTTTTTCACCCTGCCTACATGTGCAGAGAATGTCTTAGAACGCAGAGTAAATCTTGACTTTCATAAGATCTTTAACCTTTCATAAGTCTTTTATTACACATTAAAAATGTGGAGAAATAGTAGGCATGATATCAGCAGTGAATAAGTAAAGAAATCATAAAGAAAGACTGGTGGTTGAGAAATTGAGGTCAGCATGAGGAAATCCTTCAGTCGTGTTTTAGGGGTTCCTCTGCGGCAACGTCTTCTGCAGTGTGTTGAGGGAAGCAGGAACAGCAAACGGGTGAGTAGCATAAAGGTGGAGGAATCACAGTAGTTCAGAAGACCCTACTATTAGGGATTATAAGAACAGAGTATCTGAAAACAGCGTGATGAAATCTAATGGGAAGAAATGTAGTTTGTATAATAAAGTATATAAATAAATCATAATTAGAAATAAAAATGCACAAAAATGAAGTAAATGTAGGAGGAGGAAGACCAAGTCTGGTGGTGGCGCAGACACTTATGGGGTCATGCCAGCACGGAGTGAAAGCTGTGTAAAGCCAGTGCAGTGGCAAGCTGCATCAGGAGAAATGCAGTAATGCAGCTTGTTCTTAGCTCTCTTATATCGTGTACCAGCCAGGCCACATTTGGCACATCATGACAAGAGGAATGCTGAGAAACAAAGGAGAACAGCAAGCAGAAACAAATGAAAGGATTAAAGAAGCTTTCAGATGAAGGGGAAGCTTACAAATGACAAACTAGAAATCTTCACATTCTTAAGATTTTTCAATTAGAAGTGGTAGCATATACTGAATCTCTTTTCCAAAGGTATGTTTTTAAGGAAGGTGGAGGTCCCAGATTCCCAGGTCTCTTTGAGAATCTGATAAAGCCATGGGCCAGCCACTCCCAGGAAAAAAATTACACACATACATGTTTTTCCTAAAATTGTCGGAGGTTGTAAAGCAGAGTTAGAACTACTGTAGTTTAGAAGTTTCTAGAAGGACCCAGGTTTCTGTTTCACAATAAGAAACTACTTCTCCTTTGACTTATAAAGCAATACTTCTGGTCAGGAAATTGATAGAAAGATTCCTAGCCTGGGAAGAGGGAGTGGGAGTGGAAGAGGGAGTGGGAAGAATGTAGAGTCGGTAACCCACAGAGTCCCTCCCAATTCTAAGATTTCTCCCATCTAAAAGGAACTTTTGAATAATTTCACAGCATTAATGAAAATATTTGAAACACTATTTGTTGTTGTGATTTGCATTACAATTTTAAACACTAACAATATCCATTAAACTCTAGTAATTGAAACAGGGTCAAAACAAAGGTCACCCAGGCACTAACATGATTTATGGACACATCTGAAAACTACGGGTGCCCAGCTACACCTGGGTGTACAATTATAAAGGCAGCAGGTATGTAGATCATTTCTCACATTACAAACAATAAAATATTTCTCTTCTCAGGTTGTCTTTTGAATTGCCTGCACTGAGGGGCATGGTAGCAGAACCCCTACAGCAATGCAACATAAGCTCTGGTTTTGCATTTGATTACAAGGATTTTTCTAAGGAGCTACTTTACACCATCATACCGGACATACTCATGAGGTATTTTTTAGTAGCATTACATACTTTCTATATTTGGGGTCTATACTCTAGGTAACTCATTAATGTTACACATGAAGAGTTTTTTTTTTTATATACATTAATTGCTGGGAAGGAGAAGAGGTACATCTCAATTTTAATTCTACCCTTAAAGGAAAACAAATAAATCAAAGTACTTGAGAGTGAAGCTTATTTCTTTAAAACTCAAGTTCTCAGAAATATAAAGCAGGAAAAGTTTCCTAGTATTCTTTTGAGATATAATTCCTGGGTTTTACTTGAATTTCTTTTACTTAAATTCTTATCACTAGTTCTGCTAATAATCTTGAAAGATTGCCCAATCCCAAAATAATTAGAGACAAATTATACTCAAAATTACTTCAGTGTTTCCTCGTTACAACCATATGCAACTATAACAAGGTATTATAAATGCCTGTGGGCTGCACACAGTGCTGCTGCTGGGAAATGATTCTCACACCAACTATGACCAAAAGGGCTGCAAGCCTCAAGGAGAAGCTGTGTGTGCACGCATGCATGTGTGTGTGTGTATGTGTGGTTAATTTGTGTATGGAACCCCAGTGATAGATGTTACTCACTTAAAAGCCCCAACTTTATTTTCTTATTGGGGCTGAAAAGTAAGGAATCACTGCATCCCTTCATTTCTCAGCTGTCTCCCTTTCCACTGTTTTAATTTTCCATTGAAATCAATTTCTCAAAATGGAAAAAAAAATTCTGCCATCAATGGTAGACTTTAAGTGATGTGGAAGGATCATTTTTTTTTTCTGGTTTTCTTTAAGTAATAGCCTTCCAAAAATTGATTAATGACAGTGGACCTATTTTCTATAGAAAGGATTATCAAATTCCAACAAAATCTGTCATATTGTTTACTTAGCTCTCAACAAAACAAATGCACCCAAACATTCAGGGGCCACAGAGTTTTAGGGATTCATTTTATGTTATTCCTTCCATCTTCTTTAGCCATAAATGCAGCTGGCGAGTGGAATTATATAGGAGAGTGGTCCTCAAACTTTAGTGCGGAGCAGGATCAGCAGAAAGGCTTTGGAAACACAGATTGCGAGGCCTCTTCTCCAGAGTCTGTAATTTGGTCAGTCTGGGTTGGGGCCCATTAAGCGGCATTTCTGGTGATGCTGTTGCTGCCAGTCTGGGGACAACCCTTTGAGAACCCCTGGTACAGAAGCATCTCTGATAGATAACTGGTTGTAACGCCATATTTCCTTTCTTAATTCCAACTTTCATGGCTAAGCTTTTTGAATCATATTCTAGGCTGGACCCAAAAATGGAAGACAGCTTTCTGTGGCTTCAGAACCTACACAGCCACATCTCCTCTAAGTGTCCTATGGGAAATATTAGTAAAGAGTTTGACCCTCTTCTGGAAGAAGAAACCAAGCTGTTTCTTGAGTCCCTTCCTCACTTTTCCCCCCCAAATAATGTAATTTGTTTCATTATTAATTGAAATATTTTCTTTAATTACAGTGACATACAATATTATATTAGTTTCAGGTGTACAACATAGTGATTAAACATTTATATAACTTATGGCCCTCAAATTATAAACCAGTAAGCCTAGGACTCCTTCTGACACCATACGTAGTTATTACAGTATTACTCCTTCACTTTCGTTAAACCACTTACTAAGAATTTGGAGTAAAATTCAAAAAGAAAATGATTCACAAAGCCTATCTGGAAGGGAGGCTCCGTCGGAAAGAAGACTGGCGTACTCACCAGAGAGGATATATACCCAGTCGTGTGGTGATAAAAACCATGGCGAACATAACAAACAGGAGATCACAAATTTTCTGAAACTTGGCATAATTTGCCATTTTGGCAGCCTATGAAAGGAAGGAATATGACATATTAATTTAGTTAAACTGAAAAATAAAAAGCTTCTTTGAATATGCATGAGTCTCCTATAAGTTATAACTTATTAGACGCATAAAATTGCCCGCTACTTTGAAATGCCATGCATCAGGATTCATAAATTACTCATAAGTCCAGTGAAATGCAGCATTAGCTATAAGTAGAACTACTGACTGTCACAGATTTAATAAAATATTCAGCAACCTGAAAAATTCAATTATATGGGTGATTTCAGGAAAATAGAAAAATAAGAAAATTCTTGCACTATAGATGATATTAGCAAGCCAACCACATCAGAACAGGAATGTAACATGACAGGTCAAAACAGAACATGCTATATAATCCTTTAAACCTTTAATGAGTTCTAAACACTAAGATAACAGAATTTATATATAGAATATATGAAGCTTTTCTGTATTTTTTCCTTCTTTCTACTTAGAATTATAGGTTTTCTTTAAATAGGCATAAAGAGTATTCTGGGGAGATAGTTTTTGACTCATTCACATAAATTGAGAAGTGAAGAATGTGTCAAGATCATGGTTTTTTAATGACTCCATTTAGTTATAATTTTCAATGTTGCATGAATGGGCCATCTTCTAGATGAAAGTCACTAATGCTGCAAGTGTCTGTAAGAAGTACTCTAATATTTCTGGTAGTGACTGAAGTGACTACTTTTTTAAAAAATGTAATTTTATTTATTTTTTGAAACTTTTTTTTCAGACAGAGGGGAAGGGAGGAAGAGAGAGAGATTAACATCAACATGTGGTTGCCTTTCACATGCCCCCAACTAGGGCCCTGGCCCACAACCCAGGCATGTGCCCTGACTGGGAATCAAACTGGAGACTTTGGTTTGTAGGCTGGCACTCAATCTACTGAGCCACACCAGCTGGGACTAAGTGACTACTTTTTATACTGTAAGTTAGTCTAGGGAAGAAATCACATCCCTTTCTCTACCATCTATTTGCAGATGATTCTAAGTCAAAACAAGTGACACTGAAAACATCATTTTGATTGGTCACTTCTTTTTTACATTTTCACCAAGAATTCACAAGCACCTTCCCTATGGGGTGACAAATTGAAGATGTCTTCTGAATTCATAACATTATGTTCTACTTAATGGAAAGTTGAATTAGCTGAGTCAACTTGGAAAGACTGTTGACAGTGTGCATAGAAGTTATAATTTAATAGCTTTAAGTAAAACACAAAGCTATGAGAGAACTATATTCCTAAGGGGAAATATCAATTAACTGGGTGGAAGTTTTTTAATATCATGAATACTTTGGGCATGACACCACACATTACATTGAGAAAAAGCATCTTTTGCCTCCTTCTGGCTAGGCAGCCATGTAACTGTTTTTATATATTCATCACCAGTATTCAATAAAAAAGCATTAAGTATCCATTTTTTTTTGGAAATGCCTAAGTCAGAGCTTCCACTTTGAAGAGCTGACAGTCAACATATCTTATTATTTGGATATTATCAGGAAATATTTTATAATACCAAAGAGGATCCAGGTAATGAAGAACATTTACTTTTAGCCACATGGCTGGAATTTCTGGATTGTTTTTCTTTTCTGGATTGAAGTGGTATGTGATGACTCAACCAGCGTTTTCAGACTGGTGGCTCTGCTGAGCATCATGCCAGCCATTTTCCCATAGGCTGGCGTTGGCATATTGTACAGGACTGATTTCAAAACTGTAGAGTGCTGTAGAAATTTTGAATTTCAAGCATGCTTAGGATTTAATCAAATGGTAATGGACTTTCAAAGTGTTGCCCTTATACTGATTATATTTCTCCTTTAAAAAATGTGGAATAGAGACTACCATAAAACACTTAAAAATCATAGTGCCAAGCTATCATCTGACATATCCTAGCCCATTAGGACTATTTTTTCTGTTTCATAAGCTTACATGGACCAAGTTTAAAAAAAATGCTACATAGCCCCAGCTGGTGTGGCTCAGTGGACTGAGTACTGGATTGTGAACCAAAGGATCTCTGGTTTGATTCCCAGTCAGGGTACATGACTGGGTTGCAGGCCAGGTCCCCAGTAGAGGGCACTCAAGAGGCAACCACACACTGATGTTTCTCTCCCTCTTTTTCCCTCCACTCCCCTCTCTAAAATTATTATAAATAAAATATTTAAAAAATAAAAAAATAAAAAATGCTATACATACATCACACCTTGCCTGTTTTTATAATAAATTCAGTTTCATGGTACAGGAAATTTCTGCTTTTATTGCAGTAACAGATCATTATTTGAGGGCACCTTTATTCTGTATCCACAGTGACAGTAGATGCTTCAAAGGGGCAGACTGTAGGCCATCAGGAATCAAAAATCAGAATACGGATTCTAAGACCCACTTCTACATGGAACTTTTACTCTGGTAAATTTATTTTTGACAAGTTACATAAATTTCTTAGTTTAAAGTAAACTTTTATTTAATTATATAACATTACTGAGTGTGTAATTAAGAGTAAATACCACATCCAAATTTTGCTGAGGATTTTATCTTTTGAAAGACACCCCTCCTCAAAAAAAAAGAAAAGAAAAAAGAAAAAAGAAAGACAGACACTAGAAGCATTTTTCTTTTTTTCCTACTTTAATAATTCTAAATGATGGTGGTTTGGAGAGTTATTCCAAGTGCAACCAGTGTATCCTCAGATACCTTTTTATTTATATGCACAGAAAACAATTTTTATACAATTTGCAATTTGTATATACTTTTCACCGTAAAAAACTAGATAATATGTGTACTGGCAATAAAAACTATGACTACTAACTGATTTCATCAGCATATACAACTCCCATTAATAAGTAAATTGAATTATATACACTTTTTGGACAAAGTGTGAAGCTTGTAACACCAGAAATAAAACATATTCAAGTAATACTTTTCCTATGTATTCATTTCTTAAGTGTGAAATAATAAAGGTATTCATTATTCCATTAATAAAGAATACTAGCATGATGAATATTTTTTATATAAAAATTTATATACTAATTTAAAGTCTCATTTTCACCAATTTCACCTACAAAGAAATATTCTGCAGTTTCAAAGCAGGCATATTCTACTATCCCCAGCACCATTAGCACAACACAGAAGGAGTGATGATCTTTGGACCTTCCTCAATTCTAGAGTTTATACTCTTAAAGGTGAAAAAAGTCTTTACCTCCAGGAGAGCATCAGCTGAATCGTGAAGACAGAGAACCAGGGTCCCTACTCGAGCCATATTGTTGACATATGAAAAGGTAATTAGGAAAATAGACACCAGGTGATGCAGGAACATAATGCCAAAGTCCTTGGGGAGGAAAAAACAGTCATGTTAGGGCTTAGCAGTACCACAGCATTTCCATGTATCTGTTCAACCATTCGACCGATACTTTCTGAGGCTCTCTATGTGCCTAACACTGGGGATAGTGGAGTAAGACACTCTGCAAGCTCACCGTATAGTGGGAGAGACACATAGGAGACCAGTAATTATGGAGGATGTAATAAAAGCCAGAGCTAAGGCCATATCATAAAGAATGTTTTGTACCAACCCAAGGAATTTGATGCAATGGGAGAAATTACTGTAGGATTTTAAGCAAAGAAAGACACGACTTGAATTAGTATATACTTTGGGAAAACCTGTCGGGCAGCAGTGCAAGTCCAGCTGGACTTCTCCTCTGACTACTTCTGCGCCCGTCTCCTGGAATATGCTCATTGGGCTATTAAAGTAAGAATAGTAATATATTGGCTTTTCCATGAATCCTACACAAACAAGCTCTGAATTTTAACCAGTATCTGTGTATAGTCATTAAAAATTTAGCAAAAGTAATGAAATACTGGCTATCTTTATTTTGGTTAACTTCAAGGGAGCTAATTCTTGGCCCATGTGAAAAGATAGATTATTTTTCTCAGATACTGATTTATCTCCTGACCATCTGGACACCGTTTCTTGTGATATGGAATTTCTGTTGCTTAGAAGTACAGTCTCCCTAAAAGAGGGTAAAAGCAGGGGCAGTAAATGGTGATAGAAGGAGACTCGACTTGGGTTGGTGAACACACAATACAATATACAGATGATGTATTACAGAACTGCATACATAAAACCTATGTATTTTTATTAACCAGTGTCACACCAATAAATTCAATAAAAAATTTAAAAAGAAATACAGTCTCTCTTTTACTGGCATTTTTACTCCCATTGAATCCACATTTCTCTCAGAATAAACTTGAACTTCTCAGGGACTTAAATGCCAGGATTGGCTCTAATGGTGATCTACTTAAAGCCCTGTACCATTCATGAAAAGACCGAAAAAATTAGCCAAAATGTAAAGCATATTATGAAGCTGAGAGAGAAAGGAAAAGAACAAGTGTATGTACACACACCCTCTTTTCAGGAGAGGTGGATGCCACACAGTTTGAAGTTTGTAAGGTCAGCCTCAATGACTTTTAAATGGTTTTAAAACATTTGAACAATGGTCCTTGTTTAGATGCTGAAAGTAAAATGATAATCTACAAGAAATAACATATTGCTCCTATGATGTCCTTTTGCCATTTATTTTATTGTACAGTTCCTATACTGAAAACATTTACAATTATTGGACTTTAATTTTTATACCTTGAACCTACAAAGCTATGGATATTGTTTAAATTCCCATGATACAGAACTCTTAAAATCATCTCTTTATGTTTTATAATGTCAAGCTCTAAAAGAAAAACATGAAGTAAGGTTAAATGTGTATGTTTGAAGAAAAACCCACAATATTTGGGTTCTGAATACACTTTGGAGAACATGTCCAGAGTTTACTTTTCTGCCTTGGAAAGTGCCAAACATTTATTGATAACCATACCTATTGATTTATTACTAGTACAATAAGCCCTCATTTAAGTTTGTTGATAGGTTCTGTGACTTTAAGTGAAGTGGACAACAAAACCAATTTCACCACAGGCTAACTGATATAAAGAAGAATTAAGTTCCTATAGCATCTCACTGTTATAACAAAACGAATGAACAAAATGGCGTTATTTACAGAGCTGCGGCAAAAGTTGCCTAAATCAGGTCAGATAATTTTTTCAGTGAAGTGCAACTATGTCTCTTACTTTCAGTTAACTAGGTTGTGCTTCACTGACGGTGAATACTATTGTTGGAAGAACCATCTGTCTTGCATCAGCCAGTTCTATCTGCCTGAAGTAGAACTGTAGAAATGAGTCTTGCAAACTTCAGCCACCTAGTGACTTGCCAGTAGGCTCCTTCCTCTAGAACCATGTTCACATCCAGTTCTCAGCTCTCTGACAGAGAGAAATGATGAGCATGCTCTGAGTGTAATGAGTGATTATGTATCAACTCGATTGACAAGATTTGTCTACTTTTCCTGACTTTCTGTTTTGGTAGCATCTGAGATTTTCCTAAATCATTAAAGTTGGACAATACCAAAATGCTTGAGGCAATCAATAAAAATTACTCTGATAGTGTTTCCCACTGGAACTGAGATTGTTCTCTCCAGGCTGTTATGCAAAATGTATTAGGTTCCATCACGCAGCAGACAATAGCTATTTCAAAACAATGAATCAGTTAAAGTGGAGCTATCCTATCAACTGATATGTTAAATTATTTCTTAAACATAATGAAATGAAAACATAGTGTTTAATTCAACATTTTAGTGAGTTTATATTTGTCCATGCTCATTACACCAACTTCAAAGTGTGACCAGCTGAGCACCTAACTGGAATAATACTTCCCACATTTCCATTGCTCAGCCCTGAATGCTTGCTCTTGATTCACTGAAAGAGAACAAGAGGTCTCTACTTAATTTTAAAATGAATAAATTAAAATTTACATTTTAATTAATTCACTTATGGAGGATTAGAACTATTGTATAATTAAGTTTCCTGATTTGTATCTGATATAAATGTCTATAAACACCACAAAGCCCAGCAATGTATCAAGGACCCTCCAAAAATGAGAGCCTTGTTTTTCAGATGGTTTGTGAAGATGATTTCCACATATAAATCCTCTCCTCCTAGAAAATATTTACTATTTAGGGACTCAGAGCTATGCCCATGGCAGACGACTGATTTTCATTATACAGTCATATCTGTATGAATATGAAAAAAGAGCAAATATTGAATTTTATCTTACATTTGTTTCAGAAAAGCATGATACACAATGAAATACCTTTAGTAAAAGCCACACAATAATTATTTTATGTGTTATCTCACCCTGACACATTTTTTTAAGTAGACACCAAATCTGGTCCAAATGACAGTTTTTAAACAAATTGTGAATTTGGACTTCATAAGTGGAGGGCGGGACACTCCCACCCTCACTGTTATTGTGTGTTATTGCTAGAGTGGTGGGTGTGTATAGACACAGACATACACACACACAGTTGCAGGGACCTTGGTATGTAGGCTGAGAATGTTCCACTGCATTTTTAGTGGCAGCAATTAGGTAGAGATACTGGGAGTTTTTGTTGGTTCTCAGACTGAAGACAGATTCCAAAAGCCCTTGTTCCAGACAGACTGGCCCGGCCACCTACTTCTGTGGTGTCCCCAACCTCCCGCCTTTCTTTCATCTTGTTTTTGGACATATTCATAGCTTTGTCAAGGGCTCCTTCTACGATTTCTGCCTAATATTTACCCCAATCTAAGCCCTCATTCCAGTGGCTTCTTCTATCTTAATTTTCACAGATAGGAAATTAGATGTGGTATTGACTCAAAATCCATTAGGTCTGAAATGAAAGAATCCAAGGAAGATCATCCATACTAATATCAGAAGTGGTAAAATTTCAACTCTTTGGGCTCCTTCCCCAATAATTAGAGTGAGAATAAGCATCTTTAACTCAGGTCTCCAGGGGAAATTTATGCACAAGAAAACATTAGCCAGAGGGATCAACCTCTCATTAAGACATATTCTATAAGACTGTGTTTGATGCTCAATATGATGAAACTCCATTTGGAATAATCAGACTGCAGAGAGTCTTTGAATTAAGACTGTGTTTTCAGGAGGCACCAGAAATTCATCTTCATGTACATGTTTTCATAAATGCAAAATGAACTCATTTCTCAAAAACAAAACAAAGCATCACAAACACCAAGAAACTTGTTAAGTCCCCATTTGTTTGATAAAGCACCAATAATTTTATGCAGTTTCTCTTGGGAATAATCTTTCCAACAAATAAAGAAAAACACTGAAGAATCTTCTCAAAAAAAGGGAGGTTAAGGTTAGAAGTGCTAGCTGATTTGGGTGTGCACGGATGGTGAAGAACATGAAATACTTCTAAACTGCAAGGCAAGGGAAAGATTCTTCTCTCTCGGATACAAATGGCATGAATTAGCTTTCTGAATTCAATTCAATAAAATCAATAAATATAATTAATAGATTTATAATCTAACTCATGAATAGAAATCAGTTAATTTGTACCATATTATTCATTTAACAGGTTTTCAAACCCTCTACAAAAGAGAAAGACAACAGCTGATAATTTAAAGCTGATTTTGTTTTATGAAAACTGCAGCAATAATAGAAATCTCTCATTTCTATTAACTTTATTTTTTTGAATAAAAAGGGCTTCTTATTGAAGCCTTCAAGGTACATAGAAATGTATATGACCTTCAGCAGAGTACCATGCTCTTTTTTTTCTAGAAATGAATAACAAACAGTCTTGTTATCTCTTCACTTGGGCTTTTACAGCTGGAGGTAAAACTCCCAGAGCACTGGGGAGCAGCATGGCTGTGCAGGAGGTGGGCTTCAGGCACGTGACTTAGCAACACGCAGGGGAGACTCGCTGCTCAGGCTCCATCTCCTCTCCGGAGTGAATGCAGGGATGGGCATGGGAAGGATTTCCAACACAGATTACATATGTCAAGAATACTCATAGTTAAATACTTTTCCCACTGAGGGAATATGAAAGTATAATAGACCCTCAACCTTTGTCTATGCATGGATAGCTAAAGTCCTGATTAACAGCATGAAAATGTGTGTGTGTGTGTGTGTGTGTGTATTTAAGAATATATATATGTGTGTGTATTCTCTTAAAAAGAAAAACGAGAGACTAAAAAACTAGCTAGGTTTTGAGACAATGACTGAAATGAAAGTATTGCCCTATATAAAAATCAGAGGATTTAGATTTGTCCAATATTAAGTAATGAGGAACATTATGCCTTTCTCTTACCAGCACCTGACGTGAATAGCCCTCAATGTATGCAAATGTAAATGTTTGGGTATCTATAATCTCCCACAATTTATTTGTTTATTATACTTTTAAGTGGCCTTGAATTTTGGCTCAATATAAAGAGAATTGGTTCAATGTG